TGAACAAGTGGGCATAAACAAGGAATGCAACCCAATCAACCTCTCCAAAAAAAAAAAATCTAAAAAAAAATGAAAAAAAATAAAATAAATCAAAAAAAGATAAAAAAAAAAATCATCAAAGTTTAAAATATTTGAACCCATCTACTGTAAATACATTGTTTATTACTGTCAGCAGTCTTAAAATGAGGAAACAGAGTTTTAAAAATAAAGAATATATCTTTAATACTTCTGACTTCATAAAAATTTCCCAGCAGTTTTATTTTCAGTGTATCAGACAGAGAATAATGCTGTCATTGTTCTCATTATTTTGCTGAAATTTGCTGAAATGAATTATGAGATGACCAAAAATAGTAAAGAAAGAAAAAGTTCCGTAAAAATTATGTACATACACTGTAATTAAAACAGAATCTAATCTGTTTACAACATGACAATTATTGTGGTACAGAGCATACATGTATATTGAAAGTTACCTAAAATATACAAACACACGTTCCTTAGTGTTGGAGAACAACAAAAAATATTTCCTTGATTATTTGGGTATTCAATGAGCTATCTACTTAACTGACAGGGAAAATATTATGAATCTGTAACAAATAAATACAGTATAAGTGGAAATTTTAGCAAGACGCAAATTTAGCGATTTCTACCTAAAATCTGGTATTTTATTTTTAGCGAGAAGTAATTTTAGCGATTTTAAAATGTTAGCTAAAGAAAGCTATTACAAGTAATACGCAATTAATTTTTAGCGATATTCAATTTTAGCGATGACAGCACCCTCGATAATAATGCCAAAATTAAATCCTAACTAAAAATTCTACTTATACAGTAGTTGTTTCAAGGAAATTTGGTTTCCACCTTTAAGTCACTTTATAATTCCAAATCTAACAGCTAGAATCCTGAGGTCTGACATGTATACAAGTCTATTATTCTTCATTTTCTGATATCAAATATCTAGACATCAATAGAAAATACTATCCCCTGATAAAAAGGGACTAACATGTTACTTCATACAACACAACATACAGGTTAAAAGCATAAAATATTATACATAATTCATAAACATTTCATAAAAAATGTTCTTTTCGGTTGTATTATAGAGTATTTTATAACACCTGAATAACAGATTTAGTTTTAATTCTTAGAGAATGTTGGCACAAAACAAGATATACATACAGTGTACTGGAACTAAGAAAATACAGCCAAACCTTGTTATCTCAAACTTGATTGGACCGATAAAAAAAACTTACAGATATCTGAGGATTCAAGATATTGAGCTTAAAATACTTAAAGAATTCGAGGTTGGGACTTCAACGTCACTTCAAATTATCCATGGTATTAAAGATATCGGTGTGTTCCAAAGTTCAACTGTATCAGTTTTACAGGACATACTTTACAGAGTACTTATTTCTCATCTACATTGTAACATTTAAGATCACACTGCAATTTTACAATCTTGTATCACTGTCTGTAAACAATGTTGCTAAAAATATCACATCAGAGCCATTCTTAAGTAGTACCCCATAAAGAGTAAATTCTGACTAACTTTATTTACTGACGGCAAATATTAAGATATTGTAATGCTGACATGTTCAGGATAACAAAATTAATAAGTTTTCAGAATTTAAATATTGTCAAGTACCTAGTATTATTCTTTTCTGCAGTTTCTTGTGGAATGTAAAAATCAACAGTTGCATAAAAATCAAAAAATTATAATAAAACATAATCATTGTGGATTCTTCATAAAAATAAAACTTTTGGGACTAGAAATTAACGAGATCAGCTGTTACTTTGTTGGAAATTGGACTGCCAGGAATTCGCCCGCTCGAATCCGTTGATGCATGACTTATAATCCTCCAAAGCCTGGTGAAGTTCCTCTTCTGTATTCATCACAAAGGGACCTGAAAAACGAGGGCGCGTTAAAATATACCTTAAACTTACTCACAATTAAAGGTTACTCACAAATAAAACTTTCCATAAAGTACACTCTATCTGATAAATATACTATACATGCATGTGGAGATTACCATGGAAATCAGACATACCGGTAATAACTTATAGCAAATTCCTGACTTATATTCAAATTTTAACTAATTATGAGAAGACATGCAAAATATGTGATTTTTGTGAGAACTTGGCTTGACTGTAAAAATTTATAAATTTTTTAAACTTGAAAATTCTCAAAGCAAAGAAAAACTGTGTGTGATGACTCATCACCAGCTGCTTCAGCTGAGGTGGGGAAAGTCAGAACACCCACCTTGTTGAGCTACTGGTTCATTTAATGGTTGACCTGCCAGCAGAATAAAACTGCAGGGATCAGATCCCTGAAAAGGAATAAGACATCCATTAATATAATACAGGCATCTATACAGTTGATATACATGTAAGAGAGATTTTTCTTAAAATATCAACCCCCACCACCCATCACCCTTGACCCTGTCGACAAGGTACCCCTGAGTTATCAGAATACCTGGTTTTGAGCTATCACACAGTCTCCTTTAGCATTTAAGATGGCAGTTTGGGTTGGGATTACTAGTTTTTCTTTGCTCTCTGGACCTAAATTTAGAGCAAGTCAATTCTTTCAAACCATATCATTTAAAACCAAATCCATAAAAAATGACAAAATGCTTAAATTAACGACATGCATGAATCACTTAATGCTTGGCTTAGAAATTTCCACATACATACCAAATAATGCCTTGCCAGAGAGGACATGAACAAATGCATTCCAGCCTTTGGGAATTGGTTGATTTAATGTAGTACCCTCATTCATTGTAAAATGTAAATAAAGAGTCGGTGTCCTAGTCCTTATCGTTGACTGCAAACAAAAATAAAGAAAAGGAATTTACAGTATCCGTGTTTTAATTGTGAACTAAAACTGTGCAGACAAGATTTATTACAGTGATGTTCTGCAGTAAATATTCAAACAGAACTATGACCCCAAAAGAAAGTTTACCTTGATACCAAATGCCTCTCCAGCAATGACCTTGACCTCAATGCCCTCTTTGGATGTCCTTGGGATATCTTCTGCGAGCATCTCTTGACAGGATGGTTCCTGCATTTTCTGATCCTTGGCTAGGTTAATCCAGAGCTGGAGTCCGTGAGCTTTCTCCTCCCCATAGGACCACTCACAGTGTACGATACCCCGCCCGGCAGTCAGCCACTGAAGTCACAAATACATGTAACATTGTACACAATGTCATTCAAATGTTATCCTTGTTATGGGCCTAATATTGTTTATATCTAAAAACTGGTTGTTTTCAGAGCACAGATTAAATGTGAACACTGTAGCTATTGGTACTTCTTTTATATTTTCTTGTCTATTTTTCCCCTCCTTCTTAATTCTCAATTACTTCTCATCTGTCCTGTTCATTTATCTTAACTAACCTCCCCTCCCCCCTCTTTTCCAGATATTTTATAGTATTTTACATATAACTACCTGAACATCTCCAGTCTTGAGCTTTCCTTTGTTGCCCATAAAATCCTCATGCTGACCAGTGCCTTTTAAAATATAGGAAACCTACAACACAATAAAAGATACATGAAATTATCAACATGTACAAAAAATAAATATAATGTTACCAAGGTTAATATGATAATTTTTTTCATTAGTTTTATAGTGTTTGAAATACCACTGAGAGATTTGTTACATATTTAAAAATTTGTCTAAATATGCAATCTGTAATAATGTAGTCCTTCAACATAACTTCAAACAATTTCCCAGTAACTCACCAGTTCAAAGCCCCTGTGGGGATGATCAGGGAAACCAGTGGGGGGATTTACTGTGAACTCATCCAACATCAGAAATGGATCTACAATGTCAGACTGAAAACACAATATAATATAATTATTATCTCTCATTAAACATTGTTTAACAGTACATTCATCCACTGAAAAAATGTCAATTTTATGTTTGCTTTACAAATCATTTAAATAATGAATAAATCTAGTTGAAAATATAATACATGGTATGAGATAAATTGATTTGTCAACTCTATTATTCTCATTTATTCATATATACATAAAAAACAATTCTAGGCCTATAAACAAAATGGTGCCCCGAACAATGCTCAAAAGTTCAATATCACATTAGCTTTATGTTATAAATATACAAATATGGCCACAATAAAAATGAATGCAGTTCACAGTGGGTAGCACGATAAAATTAATCCATCAGATTATAGAATGAAACAAAGAATAATGATATAGCCTTACCACATCGTCCCCGAGGCACCGCTTGATGGTGGTTCCATCCCCCTCGCCCTCTGACTGCTCCACACTCTCCGTCACTTTCCGCACGCTCCGAGACGTCATCACTTACTGAACACGATAAACCTGTTAATTAAAACATAACATACCCTGAGACATCCGTTACCATACTCTAAAGTCATTACATCATGTAAATTAACTATTCCAGTAACAATATAAATTGAGTAAACATCAATAGGATATAGGAACAGATAGATCCTCTACAGACGGGCATTATCACTGTGTATAATATGTTTTGATTCCATGACAGGACTCAGTCACCACTGCACAGCCATTTATTTCTGAGACTCATCCATATAATAGTTTTTTATAAAGTTGTTAAAGTCTAATACAGTGACAAAGCATTTCTAAAAACAATGCTTTACCATTATATCAACCTCATTGTAAAGAATGTTTTAGCTTGATCTGACTACAGAACAGTGCTGTACATTCCCTGTTGACTGACATACAATATAACAGTACACATGTATACTAAATACTGCGTGCTTCTCACTGACTCATATTTCCTGTTTTAAACAATCTTGAAGTGTGCATCTTTAAAAAGGAACATTTATTAATAGATTTTTTTTCTCTTGATGCACTGTGTTTAAATGTTGTAATTGAATATTATCTTTGTCTGTATTAAACCCCTAAGAAAAAAAAAGCTTGTGATGAATTTTTACATGAATTTCAGATTCATGGTAATGCATGTTTATTTTCAATTACATGTATTTTTAAGAACTTTATGATGAGTTGGCAGTGTTTAACCATGTTGATTTTGAACTTTAGTGTCTTTTTCCTATAGTGAAATCAGAGTCTATAAAGACACTGATATATACAACCATGTAACAGAATAAAATATTTGTGTAGCAGGAAAAAAATCTTTTAAATACTTTTCATAAATAATAAATTAGAGGCCAATGGGCCACATTGCTCACCCGAGCACATCATGGGCTAGGTAAACACACAATTAAGCCCAGTAAAAAAAGTTGAAAAGTTAAGGGGGGGGGCATCCTTTCCCCTGAGGTCATGATGTTTATTTGAATCTACACCACCTGAGGATGATTTCACAAGTTTCATCTTTCCTGGTCCAGTGGTGTATGAAAAGTATATTTTAAAGATTCTTCCTCTAATGATTCAATGTTAAACTTTGATCATCCATTGTGTCCACTGTGTCCCAACCCTACATCCCGGGGTCATGATTTGAGCAAATTTGAATATACACTACACTGTACATGTATGTTCGTTCGCCCTAAAACATGTTCGCCCTTGACGTCGTTTGCTCTCTTTCTTGTTTGCTCAGAGTCAATTTGCTCTAAATCTCATTCGCACAAAGTCTGTTTGCGCTTAATTTGCTAGTCAGTTAATTTTCATATTTTCTTTAGATTTTATAGTAGATTTTAAATTTATTATTTGACATTAAAAATATGTAGTTTAAAAACCATGTAAAGTTATTGATGTGATATTTAAAGCATTAATTTTAATTTATAATGTTCTGTATGGTTATATTACATTCTTTAAGAAAGGGGAAACAAGAATTATGGCGAATGGACCTTGCGCAAAAGGACTAATGCAAACAGGTTGATAGGGCGAACGGACCTGATACCCTACATAAGGATGCTTCCATATAAATATGACTATAATTTTTTTCATGTTGACGGTCACCACTAGCGATCAACGTATTTTTGACACATCCTGGGCGAATTAGAAATGAGTTTGATTTATCTGCAGTTTTCATATATAGAGAGACAGATTGGTCAAACCGTGCCACCAGTATTAAAAACTGTATATTTCTTGAGCACAAAATTTGTGTTCATTCTGACGTCGTTTGCATGTTGCTAAATTTCAAAATAAACCCTTTATCAGTCTGAACAGGGCTGATTTCAATCAGTTTATGATTATTTTTCTGCAATAAACAGATAAATTCATTAAATCAAGGCAAGCTAATTTTTCTTTTAACTTTTGTCGTTATTCTCACGAGAGCGTGACTTTAGCGTTTGTGTATGAAGCGATGTATTGATTAAAGAAGTAAAAAAAAATTCAAAAAAAAAAAAAAAATTGCCTACCTACCTACCCTATATTTTTTCAGCCTGAAAGCAAAAAAAATTTTATTTCTAGGAATGAATGTTGTTGTTGTTGTTATCTGAATTTTCTCTTCACACCAGGCGTTCTGTTGTGGAAACAGTGAACAAATATGTTAGGAGCACACGGTTTGTAATACTTTGAGGGACAGCTTTAAAAACGTGTAGAAAATAATCGAGAAACAGCGCTCATTTTTGTGCGCAATAAACATACAGTTTTTTCAGATGCACTAGCTCCCCGTCTATCAATATATTTTTTGAAGAATGACCACTAGTAATTTAATCTTGCACACACCCCCAAATTGCTATTTATGACACCTACCAAATGTCTTTTTTATTCCAATCCAATTTTCATTGATATAAAGCAAAAGCGCATTTACTTAGGCATTGGGGAATTTTAATTAACATATTCATCGCACATTTAATACAATTTAGTCAATTTTCCATGTGGAATTTCAGAACTGTAAAAACAAAACCCACAGCTGTTCTCCGAAAAATTAAAACAATACAAAAAATTATTTTGTTGTGTATAGACGGTAAAAAATACATTTAAGCAAGAGGTGTTAGCTACAGTGCCACCAGTATTAAAAACTGTATATTCATTGAGCACAAAATTTGTATGGTGGGCACTTAGTGCTATGATATTCATTTTTCCTACATTTGAATGTAACATTTATTCTTTATTTTCTTTGAAATTCTTACCCTTTGTGGTTTAATGCAAAGTTGTATCTAATATTTATTAAATATTTTTGAATAAAAGATTTACAAAGTGACATTTGCAATTATTCCATTTTTATTCCAAGATTATGGTTTTCGAGTGATTATTTTAACATGAATTCACTGCATATCGCATTTTTATAAAGAATAAAGCCATTGCTTACGAAATAAACTAAATGAAATTTTGATGATTTTACTTTTTGAAAATTAACACTTATGGGCCTCAGAAGGGCTTTTAACAACAAGTTAAAAGATCGTCATTTTTGATTGGTTTAGGTAAACAGTTGAAAAAATATGAAGTGATCAACACGATTGATAGGCTCACTACGCGCGAGAGTTATATTTTGAAAACAGAGACATTTGTTTACATAGGTGACGATTTTGAATTATTTGAACGACACTGCGCAAAAAAGTCCGTGTTGAAATTTTTTGTTTTTCGTGCAACAGATAAACATGCATATTTTTTCCCCGTTTGAAATGGCCATTTCACGTCTCTCCAGGTCTATCAATATATTTCTCTCCCATTTGGTGGTTAGAGCTACTGTATTCTGCCATTAATGTTAATATGTAAATAAAGCTACATCCAAGAGATAATTAAAGCTTGTTTAAATAAAAACAAAATTGTGAAAAGTTGCATTGAAATAGCTAAATAAAGTAGCTACGTGGGTAATTCTAGCTGCAAACTTAAATCATGTAAACGTATTAATTGCAAAGGTCCTTCGAAAGCGCCTGGTGAGCAGCTTAATTAATATTTCGAGTTTTCCAGCTTCTTGTTTTGTTTTTTTTACCTGAATGTGTCAAATTTATAAGCTCCAGGGTTCGATCATTTTTCTTCTTATTCAAAGTTTGGAGGGAGCAAATGATGTATCTAAAGAATTGTTGCAATCAATCAATTTCAGTTTGGTTGAAATCAGAAATGCGAATTTGTTGTCTTCGATCTCGAGGAGGAAGTCACACTAAAATAATCTCCAAATATTGAAGAGTTCTTTTCCATGACCATGGGCATGGGCCACAACGTTCACCTGAGACAAACATAAAAAAGATTGAATTATTTTTTGCAGTTTACGCGTACGTCGACTTAAATACATCTGTTCCTACTTCTTACGTGTATTAGACCTTGCTTCGTATCGCCAACTTTTTCTGAGTATATATTTTTTCTTTATAAAAGCTAATTTCCTTTACTGCTTTAGATGTCGTTTGCTTCCCACCCTTGCACTTACAAGATTTTGACCATCTTCGCTAGCCAAAGATTTTCGGTTTATGGTGAGCGGTGCAGACCGAAAACCCTTGGCTAGCATAGATGGATTTTGATAGTAAACATTTTTTTGCTTAAGATTTTTTTAGGAGTTGCCTCCCCCTTCGAAACTTCAGTTGCAGAACTGTAGAGTAATGGTTAAAAATTCAAGTCTTTGCCAAAAACTAAAATATAAATAAACCACAACGCTACACTTTTGCAGCTATCGAATCCGTTGCTACATGTCTGGAAAGATAATATCTTTCAAAGCCAAATTTCATTAATTTGAAACAAAACGCAACATCTCAACTTCAAGATTCATACTCATTTCATGTGTTTACCTTTTTCTTAAGCGTGACGTGGAGACCGATACCTGAGATGAGACTGTTGTTAATTTTTAGTTGTTAGTCCATTTATTTATACAATGAATTTACGACGGATTTTTCCGTTATTACCCGATCATGACAAGGAACACACGACGGGTTTGACTGGTCGACAGGGGATGCTCACTCCTCCATGGCACCTGACCCCCCTCTGATGTTTTAGAGGTCCGTGTTTGCTCTGGTGGCGTCTCCATAAGAGTGAAAAATTCTCGAGGGGGACGTTAAACAACAATCAACAAAATCAATCACCTTTTCTATAAGCGTAGTACATGTATACGAATATTCTAAACAAACTATTAACGTGTATCTCTGACTTTGTTCCACTCTATTCTGTTCTATTCTATGATTTTTAAAATTATAAACACTGCGCAAAGAGCGTTAATGTTATCTCCTGTTTTGAAATCTTGTTTTCACTAACTTAAATAATGTAAATTATTATAAATTCTTCAAAATGATGATCACACCGACGTATCTTTAATTACGCAAATCTTTTTTTTTTTCGAGATGGTGCATGTAAGATGAGAAACATCCAAATGAACTGGTAACTCGGATTGCATTTCATTTAATTTCTTCTAACAAACAACACCAATCTTGTAAGAGTAGATTTTATGTTAATAATTAAAAATGAATTTTTGAAATTCTAATAAATTTCTTTTTAAAAATTCAACATTATTAGGCCTACATAAAATAATCTTTCATGTAAAATAAATTTAACAATAAAAATTCTTCAGGTTAGAGAGAGAGAGAGAGAGAGAGAGAGAGAGAGAGAGAGAGAGAGAGAGAGAGAGAGAGAGATGGTTTATTTCTTTCGATTTTTAAATTATTAAAAAGAAATTATATTGTATGTAGAGGCATTGTAATTAATAAGAATTTAAAAGGTTATCAAAAGCTAAGCTTATATTATATTAAACTAGGCTTGTGTTCGCCAATTGACCCCTCTTAAACTGCCAAATGTTAATTTAAAATTATCTAATACGGAGATTACGAATTCCCATAATTCTAAACACGATAATCTCAAAAGTACTGATTTTTTCTCTCCAAGTTTGCTTTATCAACCTGTGAAAAATATACGCAAAATATTTTTAAATGCTTCCAATCTGATAAAAACTAGACACATTGATATGTGTGACGTCAGATTTATTTATCTTAGTCTGGTATGTATAGATTTTTAAAATAATCAATGACTTGAAACATATATTCTCGATGTACGGGTTTCTTTCATCACGCGTCTTGACTTGTACCCTTTGGAGGGTTTTAAAACTCTAATTAAGGCGATGTGCCACGGGGTGACCCGAGTGTGCACGGTATTTATTTACATAGATTGTCTTTTGCGACGTTTTTGAAAATTTAAATAGATACAACCATGGTAGCAACTAAACCCGTGATGTTAAGTTGATAAAAGTATGTAATTATTCAAAAGGATTTAAAGAACCAGCTTTTTTCACCTTAAACGGGCCCTCGGATTTTATCACGTCTATGGTTTAAAATGCAAAATCATTTGAGCTGCGATTAATTGATCAATACATTCCCCTAGTGTTAACATTAGTAATGAGTGCGTAAAGAGTTCGTTGCTTTTTTTTCGGAATAACAGCAGGTATCTTGAACCAGTCCCGTGATGGCGAACCCGTCAGAGCTTTCTTCGGATCCTCTTATGTGTGGGCTGTGTCATCAGAGGTACAACGATCCGAGAATCCTGGACTGTTTCCACACCTTCTGCTGTGAGTGCCTGGAGAAACATACACATAATGCTCATTCCAAGGTTACCTTTCCGTGCCCAATATGCCATCTGGAAATCACCATTCCGAAAACCGGAATCAAAGGACTCAAACCAAATTATTACGTCAGGGCTATACTGGCAAGTGCCACTTATTCCACGAATTGCAAGTGTGACACGTGCAAAGAAAACGAGCAACAAGCACATTCCAGATGTCTTGAGTGTAACAGTAATTTTTGCAAGCCATGCAATTCCCGCCACCTGAAAGCAAATGAGACACGTGACCATCATGTGATAGAATTATCTTCACAGGAGGCAAAAAGCATTACTAAACTTTCGCATCGATCGTTTTGTGAAAAGCATAAAGAAGAGACAGTTTACTACTGTATTTTATGCGAGACCCCGATCTGCAAGGACTGTGTCACAAAAGTTTCCGAACACAAGGGGCATCGATATAAAAACATCGTTGAAGGAGCAAAGGAGAAAAGAAACAAAGTAAAGCCTATGATTCAGAGCATGCATGAATATCTGCCATGTTTACAGGACTACCTCAATGAACTACACTCAACCAAAAAGCTACTGGCTGATTACGCTGAAGAAACTGTGAGCGAGATCAAAAATCGCTGCAAATACCTTCAACAAGAGCTACAGAAAATCTGCAACTCGCTGGTAGAGGGCGTGGAAGGGAAGTTAAAGACTGAATCGACTCGAATAGAAACGCATGCCAAAACCATCGAGAATACTCTCCGGTCTGTTTCCACCATAACCAAGTCTGCTGAGGAGGCGATAAATCTTGGAAGTGACAGCGAGGTCGTGTTGATGTGTCAGAAGTTACAGAATAGGTTTAAGCACGCAGACAAGGAGATACCCCAGGTTGGCCTACATTCCGCTGTCAGCAGCAATTTCCATGTTGGAGAATCCCATGGGTCAAATTTGGAGGAGATGTTTGGGTCATGTGACACAACGGATATTAAGCTGCCAATGTTGCCAATCCCATGGGGGCTCCGAATAGCCTTGAATTTTGACGTTCAACTGATGTATAACTTCAAGGTAGCCAATCACATTGACACTATACATGCGATAGCCCCACTTTCAGAGAAGGAAGCCTGGATTTGTCACGGATGGGGAACCCAAGAAATGAACCTTTACACACGAGAAGGTGAGAAACTCAGGACGGTCAAATTGGACATTCAGATTGACGACATTCTCACAAAGCCAAACGGCGACATCTTAGTCTCTAGCTACGATGACAAAAAGATCATAAAGCTGGATGGAGATTTGAAGCAGACCGATTTCGTGCATCTGGACTTGTACCCCGGGGGGATGACATACACCAAGCGGAACGAGCTGCTTGTCTGTGCAGTTGACAGTTACGTCACAACCAGGAACTCGAGATCTCGACGAATGATCATTCGAATCAGCGAGGCGGGAAAAATAATAGATATGATTGAAGACGATGGATTCACCGCCATCTTTACTGCACCTTATCGTCTGCACGAGAACATGTTAGGAGATATCGTTGTCTCCGACCGAGAAGAAGCCGAGGTTCATACGACCACGATCACACTTGACGGGTTTATCAAGAATAAATACACAGGACAGAAAGATTACAGAGTGAAGAAACCATTTAATCCCTTTGGAATTGTTTCCGACAAACACGGCCACGTGCTGGTGGCTGACTGGAGCAACCACGCAATTCATTTACTGGACCTGAGTGGTCAGTTCATTGGATTTCTGATCACGGAGAATTATGGAATTCGGGGTCCCAACGCCCTTGCTTTGGACAAAGAAGGCTATCTCTGGATAGGGGACACAAAATCCACTGTGTGGATATTCAAATACTCAAGGCGTGTGGAAAACAATACATGATCCCCCAATGGCTATATCTAAATACTCCAACGTGTAGGAATGACCCTCAGTGAATTGAAGTAAATAACGATAAATATACTTGTACATTGCATTTATTATCGTTTAGATTTTAATTTTACAGGCACGTAGCATCGATTTTGAAAGTGGGGGGGGGGCAACCACAGAAATGTTTTTTCACTTACCTGAAAAATTGAAAAGCAAAAAAAAAAAAAAAAAAAAAAAGGAAAATTGCCCCAAAGTCGAAAATCCTGGGGTAGAGTCAAACTTTTTTCACTACCACTTCCTTTCCGTATCCATTTTTTAAGCTTACAATACTATATTTCCTTCATATTACTTTACTTTGGCATAAAGTGGGGGGCCAACCAGCCTTTCAATCAACATTTTCAATAGTAAAAGTATTGTTGGCAAAAAAAGTGGGGGGGGGGGGGGCTGGCCCCCCTGTTGCTACGTGCCTGTTTTAAACTGTTCTTTTTTACTCTTACATTTTATTTACACTGCTTGTATTTCATACGTATTATGATGTTTATTTTGGTAAACAAAACAAAAACGTTATTGTTGATTATTTCTTTAAGGGCAGATGATACAAACAACTTTTTTTCTTTGGAGGAGACTTAATATGTCACAAGTTTAGAAAAAGTTGTTAATTCTTTGAATTTTTCTCCTAAGAATTGGAAAATAAAATAGACTTGGAAAATATTAGTATTATTTCAATATATTTACATTTGCAAATGTTTTCCTTTACATAACACTACTGAAGGCAAGCGTTTTTATAACTGTGTAAATACAGGTTTGGGGTCAAGAGGTCATAGATGTGCGTTTGGATAAACGTTCCACGTAATTTCTCTGTGACGTCATAAAGGGTCGACGCGCGTTTAGTAGATTACATACATGCCGTTGGGTTTGAAAAATTAACGCATTTCACACGTTAAAAGTAACAATCAGGCAAATATAAAGTATGAATAAGTCACAAATTTAAATATAAGTAATAAGGTATCATTTTTTGAGTTTTATTGAGATGTAAAACGGGTTGACACATGATCAAATCTTCCATAAAGCCCTTCGGGCTTTATGGGATTTGATCACGTGACCAACCCGTTTTACATCTCAATAAAACTCAAAAAATGATACCTTATTTCTTAAAAAAAAACATATATAGACAAATCACACTCAGTAAAAGTTTACAGGTGAAAAAAATTCATAATATGTTACCTTGGTGCTAAAAGCGTAAAATAAAATTTAGAAAAATATACCAAGCCAGGTGATTTTTATCAGGTAAAGCAAAGTTTATATTACATGTTTAGCACCAAGTGTCCGTGTACCACTTAACATTTCAAAATTCTAGATCTAAAACGATTTAGAGTTTTAGAATGTTAATATAATAGTTCAAATTTCTAAATTTAAAAAAATCAAACTGAGTTCGTATACTGGAATTTAATATTTTAGTTCAAAAACCTAAATTTTCAAATTTCCAAACAGGTTTTAGAATTTTAGGTTTTTAGATTTTTACCTTAAACGTTCAAAATTCAATTTTCCAAACACAAATTTTGTATTTTAAACTTTTGAGTTTTAATCTACTTTTTAATTTAAAAAGTTTACGCTTAACAATATTAAGTTTTGACTTTTGATATTTCAAAATCGACTTCAAACTTCTAAATTTCAACTTTCAAAACGTTTAAGATTTTTTGAAATATAAAAATTTGATTCAAATATTCAAATTTCAAATAACCAAAACACTTGTAGTTTTTACATATTTACTTCAAATATCCAAAATGTCAAATTCCAAACCTGGTTTGAATTTTGAAACTTTACAAAAACACTGTTGGTTAATAAGCAAAAGAGCTTTAAGATAGTTAAAATATTGAATTGATATTCAAAATTCAAATCGGGTTTGGAAATTTGGTATTTGGATTGTTAGAGTAAAATTCTAAAACTCAAAGTGTTAAGGTTATTTGAAATTAGAATATTTGAATCAAACTTCCAAATTTCTAAAAATCTAAAACGTTTTAAAGTTGGATTTTAGAAGTTTGTAGCTATAACTTCAAATAATCTAAAGACGAAAAATATTACCGAACTTTAGATTGTTAAGTGTAAACTTTCTGAACAAACGGTAGATAAAAACTCAAGTTAACGTTTAAATTCTAAAAATCGTTTTCAGTTAGAATTTTGAACATTTAAGGTAAAAATCTAAAATATTAAAATTCTAAAAGCTGTTTTGAAATTTGAAATTTTAGATTTTTAAACTAAAATATTAAATTTAATATACGAAAAAATCAGTTTGAGTTTTCGAAATTTAGACATTTGAACTAATGTCTTAACATTCTAAAACTCAAAATAATTTTAGAAATTTGCATTGTTAAGTGTTACACGGACCAAGGTAACATATTCTGAAATTAGTATTCACCTGTAAACCTTTACTGAATGTGTTTTGTCTATATATGTTTTTTTTAAATTGAAATATTACTTATATATTTCCAGGTCTATTCCTTTTTCCAGTTCTTATGAGAAAAAAATCAAAGAATTATCAACTTTTCTAAACTTGTGACATGATATTAAATCTCCTCCAAAGAAAAAAAATTGTTTGTATCATCTGTCCTAAATAAAATTTGGAGATGGCGAACTCATATCAAGCTCAAAAGTTAATTGAAATTATCTAAATGGTGAGCAGAGCAAACAATGATCTCGAATAAGGTTGATCAGGTTAGGTGCCATGAAGGAGTAAGCAACTCTTGTGGACTGGTCACACTCACTGTGTCATGACCGTGAAGACGGAAAAATCCATAGACAATCAGGGTGTAAATAATGGTTTAAAATTTGTATAGAAAAAAGTCAGTCAGCATCCTATTTTATAGGATCATTCTATCAATCATAGAATTTGTGAAATGATGATTTTAAACGAAGATGATGATGTTCTTGTTTGTCGTAAGCTTGCCTTGTTTTACAAATTGTTAGAACAACAATTGCTGCGCATGCAAATCAACTTGAAGACACAAACCTAATATAAAGGTTATAAGGACACGTGTATGATAGGGAAGTCCATGATGTCATTAAGAACCCTAAACGTCTTATTCTAGTGAAACATAAAAAAATAAAAAAGATGTGTAATACTCAACATATGAAAGAAAGTACCAGTTGTTCATCCACAAAATAAGTCTTCGATATCTAAATGTCGAGTTGAAGGCAACAGAAAGTGTTTTCTTCTTATGTATAAGTCTTTGAATAAAGTCTCCTTCATGCAATATTTAAGGAATCACTCTAATTAGAGTCATTCCTTAAGGATATCCGATCCTCAGCCAGGAAGGATAACTCCAAAAATACATATTTAATTTGAAATGCATCAAAATAAAACTTGAAAATGAATTTTTTTCAAGCAACAATTTTAATTATATTCCTCTTTATAAGATTCAAGGTTTTTGGAAGTCTTAGAAAAGGTCTTATAAAAGTTGACATTTGTACCCTATAAAAAGAAAAAAAAAATATATAGTTTTAGAGAAATAAGATTTTCTTAAATCCAGCCTTATATACCAATGATTATTAGCATGATATGAAATAAAAAGTGATTTGTGGTGTCTTGCAATGATAGCAAAATCCTTTTACACTATGTATTATAGAATACATGACGGAAATAGAAGACAAAAAATACCAAATAAGTATAAAAATCATGACAATTTCTCTGAATGCCTGGATACCTATCGTTTTTTAACCTAAAATATATTTTTTGATCAATTTGCAATTAAAAAATGCAAAGCTAATATTCCTATTCGCTTTTTCTGCAAAAATATTGGAGATTTGATGAATTTCCCTATATAATATGATTAAATTTAATCTTGAACTTTAAAGAAACACTGTGGATAAATTTACATAACTTTGTGGATTTAGAGATACTTTTATGAGTACTTTTGATTACTTAACTGCTAATTTTATAAACCTGAGGATCGGACTACCTTAAAATTTAATTTTGAAATAAATAAACGACTTTGGATGTAAAATTGTTGCATTTTACGAGTTCAAATTTACCGCGCAATAATACAACCGTAGTAACGGAAGTGATGAGAAGCGAGGGGAGGTAATAACTGATACATATATCTAGCAGCCATGATTTTTGTTTACATGAGGTTAGATCGAGTAATGTTTGAAGTTAAAATGCATTTATTAAATATGGAATTTTCCAAAGACTCCGAGCACTGAAAATGAGGGGATGGCATGGATAAGATAATTAAGCTGGTCGTCAAGGGGGTGTGTCCCCATACCAAACCAGATTATACAAAATAATTTACGTTACTTTTCGGAAATCAACCAATGAGAGGCGAGAATACAAACAAAATTAAATTATGTTGAGATAACGAAAAGTATTCAAGCCCAAAAGTCTATTAATCAATACAAATCAGGAGCAGAGCAAACACAAAACCTCTAAAATATCAGAAGTGGATCAGGTGCAATGCGGGAGTGAGCATCCCTGCCGACGGTAACGTATGAAGTAAGGAGTTGTAACGTCGCAGGTTCGAGTCCCACTTCCGATGAAATTGTAATAACCGATGTCCCGTGTCGCAATAGTGCTGGCACGATAAACATCCCTTTTTGTTCAGTGAGTCTGAGTGCCGAGCATTGGACAAAATTTATAGCTCTCCGTCAGTAAATGATGGTGTCTCAAAATGGGTGAAAAATTCTAGAGAGGGACGTTAAACAACATACCAAAATACACTCAATGAATGAAATAAAAAAAAACCAAACATAATCTTCGAGAATAACTGTATTAATTAAAATCCAGTATGTACTAGTATTTGTTTATGGACATGTCATTCTTCTACATCGAAACAGTAAACATTTTGGGCCTTATCCACGCGCAGACCAACACTGAAATCACGAAAGAAATGGATACAGGGGAACAAAATGGCGATGAATTTTCCAGGAACAAGGTCACTCCACTCAAAGTATGGTGTTGGATCGTCGTTTGGGAGGGAAAAGGAAGCATAAATCTCCCGCCTCTCAGAATCCTGAAATAAATTCGGTGTGCTGTAGAATGACATAAACACTGGAATACTTCATGTGTAATTCTAACATTTGATCCAACAAAAGTAATACCCTCTCCATACAAGAATGTTTTAGAGAAAAGAAGACAGTGGATTTTTTTTTCACTTACGATAAACATATTTATACATGTACCTGCAAGTAAACGTTATGGCGACCCCTGTAGTTATGGAACCTTCTTATGTAGGCGAGAAACACAAAAGGAAGTGTAGATATGTTGGAAGAAAGCATTGACCTCTCTTCTATTGGGATTTCTCTGAGACGGGTAATCAAAGTGTGGCAGGGAAACTTCAATTTAGCTTTATCTATCGCCTTACTGCGTGATTGTGCAGTTCTTTCCACGATCCATTTCAAATCCGCATTATCTTCGACGAATAACGGATCTTTTGGCATGGGAAATTTAGCGTGCGAGGGCGAAGCAGAGAAGCCATAACTAGAGTCCCGAGAATCTCCCAAGCGTGACGATACTGAAATTCCTGATTCTTGGTAGATACATGGTTTACAATGAAATTTGTGTTCATATTTATCTATATCCTTACAACGCTCAGAACAGTACAGAACAGACATACACACGGTACAGGTGACATTGCTATTCCCAACGTTATATTTACACAGATGACAAGAAGTACTTCCGAATACGTTTGGGATTTGTAAGTCTTGTCCTTCATTTGGGTTTCTCCCTCCGTGTTCTTCGGGTGTGACAAGGCCCATCATTGAACATTCTCCAACAGTGAGAGTTTCTCTTACTCTTTTCTGGATGCTGTATGCTTTACATGATGTTTTGTGTTTATCCCAATCTGACGTCTGACAGTCATTTGAACAATAATATACAATCCTACAGCCAGAGCACCTGAGTAATGCACTTTGATTTTTACAGTTTGCACATATTGGCAATGGATCGCCAAAGCCTTTTTCATTTCTATATGTTGATTTATCTGTGCAGTTTAATTTGTGCTTTTTCCAGTCTGTCTTTTGACATTCAGGAGAGCAATATTTTTGCACCTTACATCTTTGGCATACTTTCATTGTACCCTTTTTGCCACATACAGTACAAACATTGAGCGATTTGTGACCGTTATCTTCTGCAGTGGTCTTCTCCTTGCTGAACACAGCGTCTTTCTGGTCTCCCTTCTCTACTTCTTGTAAATAATCTCCCTCCTTATCTTGTACATTTATCTTTGCACACTCATCCTTGTGTTTCTGGGTCCAGTCCTGAACTTGACACTCTCTGGAGCAATAGGACACCTGCAGACATCCCGTACATCTCTTTAGCTGCTCTGACGGTTTCTTGCAAGAAGTGCAGGTCGACTCTATTAAAATAAACATTTTAATATTATGCATATCAAGGTCTTGGAAACTATATTCATGGGAGGACATTAGAATCTCCTTGTTAGTTAAATTTGATGATGCAACAACACTGTTACATACTCAGTCTTACAAAAGGAAATTCAAAATAAAAATATCCTTTGAAGACTAATATATAGATAATTTTATATTAAATTGTGATTTTCATAAGCATTCAGCTTTGGTTTTACAATGTCACGAAATAATGACAAAACTAAGACTCAGTAATCAGGACTTGAGGTTTATAAACCGCTGCCTTCATATAAGAGTTTCTCTTACCTTCCATATTTACATCTTTGCACTCTCTCTTGTGTCCATCTTTCCAGTGATTTCTTTGACAATATCGTGAACAATAAAATTCTCCCTTACATCGGCTACATTTCAGTAAATCTGATGATTGGACGCCACAAAAGCTACACTCTGACAATTCTGTAGATTTTAAAAGATCGAATTTACCAATCAATAAAGATGTTGCGTACAATATTTGTTTGATATTATGCCACTTGTACGTAAGCTTGTTACTGTCAAATAAATATTCTTTCCCCTTACCATCAACGATGATTTCTCTACATTCCAATTTGTGACCCCCTTTCCAATGGTTTCTTTGGCAGACCCTGGAGCAGTAGAATTCTACCTTACAACGACTACACCTTTGTAATTCCGATGAACGAACACCGCAAAAACTGCACGAATTCATCATGGGCATGACTGAAATAAACTAAAATAATATCTACGATAAGTTTATGGAGGTTGGGTAGGTGATGGTAGAGTTGAATGATATGTTCGCTTGACGCATATGTTTTATATTTGGATATTTAACTTGAAATAACGTTATATGTAATCTAACAATCAAGCTTTATGACAAACGTGATGTCTTTCACTTTTCAATAATGAACTTCCTTTACTGATGCAGCAATACACCTTCATCACCTGCATACAGGGTTTCTGCCTCTCATTGATTTGATACGCAAGAGCAAACTCTACCTATGTGCGATTTCTAAAATGAGGTAAGTAATTGAAAAACAAGTTGAAGAAACAAGAATACCAGCAGTCTCATTTCAGTTCATCATTTCATAAGCTCTGTGGCGAATATAATGACCTTGTCAGCAAGTACAATTTATCATTCACACAAATAATGCTGACTGACATTTTTCTTACTACGAGGGTTGTCCCAGAAAAACGCGAACTTATTAAATCATAAACTACAGAACCAAAATTATTCATTTTTTGCACAATGTTGAGAAATGATATATTCGTCATTTTGGCAAAATAATATAAGGCTGTGACGTAATATGCATTAAAAAACAACATTTAAATAAAGGGAGATATATATTAATGGTCGGTGCACGGTAATTCCTTGACTTTCAAAATATGCAATCTCAATGATCTTTTCTTTATTATACGGAAATTTAATGTGATTAAGATTAAATCCTTAGAAACTGTATGATCTAGAGTTTTTGTGTGGAAAAAAATAAATACTCTGACATTAAAAAAAAAAGAAAAATATGACGTTATATGCACAAACACTATTAGAATTTTTTTTCAAAGTGCGTTGATTCTGTCCCAATTTTAACGCACTTTGAAAAAAAAAATCAGAGTACTTTACCACAGACCAGTCGGCAGGGGATTCTCCACCTGATCCCACCTCTGATATTTTGAAGCTCCAATTTTGTATTTTTAATGGACTTTGAGCTTGAATAGTGAATACTGTTCCTATCTCCATATATTTCATAACAAATTAAACCATTTTTCTCAAATAATACGATGATATAAGTCACATCAAGAGTACAATATTCACATCACCCTTTCGGCTCGTTTTAATAATTGTATCATATGACTATCAAGAATTCCTTTTAAAAAATTCAATCAGTTTTGAGATTCGATTATTGTCCAAATATTTGTTATGTATAAGAATCAGTTATTATTATTAATCAATGATAAACGTAATCTTTTCTTTAACAGCAAACATATTTTTAAAATAACTCACCAAATTATTTTGATCTTTTGTGTTTGTTGATTTTTAAAATGATATCAAAACCTATTCAAGTTCTCTGAAAACAAAACGAAACTGCGCAGTGTAGGCTACACATCGAATACACTATGAAGTCCTTGAGTTGATCATGCAGAAACACAGCAAATTTTACGGAAGCCGGTATGTGCTTGGTAGAAAATAAAATAAAGTGTACTACAATTTTTATTGTAATCAATGATGTCCTCCTTGAATGTTAAAGTCTGAAATATTGCGGCATAGCAATGCATTATAGTGGTCATTTTGTTTGATATTTTAGGAGAGGCAGAGATTGACCTATCAAAATCTAAGGAATAAAATTCCAGTCACGCTATGCGTCACTCTGCCTCTTCTCCAACCGAGGAGGACGAATGATTTTCAAGTTTGTTTTTTACCTCCTTTCACTCCGCCTCCGTCAATTTTTGTGGTTTTAATTTGACCTTTTAGCGTTTTCAGATCCATTTTCAAAATTTTTCTGTTAGGTGTAAGTTGTATTTACCGAAAATTTAGGTTATCTCATGTTACAATATTGGTTTATTTCCCATCTTTATATTAATTTGTGTCCGCTGAAATTATATGTCATTGTTGATAATACTTTTGAGAATTTAAAACAAATTATCAAACGTCACGAAAGTGGCGACACACGACAAACTGTTTTACAGACTTTTTAATCATTTAAGGAGGACAAGATAAGGCGTTCTAGTGTTAGAGGTTTATGGAAAGAAGTAAGCAATTTGGTGGGTAATTGGGCTGTCAAAATACTTATTGAATTATATTAAAAATATTTTATATTGCGGCTGCTTTGGGGGCACTTGCTCTAGTCATTGACAGATTATTTAAAAAAAAAAAACATCTTCGAGAACATATTATTTATTTTCAAAATCTGCTATCTCACCAGCAACCCCCAACGAATCAAATGGTCATGATTTTGTACAACAGCATTGAATATATTGATGTATGAAATAGCCGTTTAATAAGATAGAGCAGTTAAATTTTCATACCCTAAAACATTGTCTTTTTTGGTTAGACCAATTATTTTCAACGAGTAGTAATCGAACGTATACCCAGAGCTCCCTCTCTAAGGAGGAAAATCTTCAATATTATTATGTCAGATTTGAATATTGCAAATATTCCCAACAACGAAAATAAATTTGAAATAAAAATACATGCCGGGATTCAGTAAATGTTCTACCAAGCCTCTTTCTTTAATCCGCACTAAAATATTAAGTGTAGTGTAACTGCGCAATAATATATTCAAAAAGTGAATATATAAATCAGATTCATGTGGATTCATAAAAACTTCAAATAACTTTCAGAAATCTTAAAATGTTTCCCAAAATCAACAATATAAAATCTTATGACTTTTCAACTTTATATGCAACCATTCTCCATGATAAAATTAAAATTCAGTCGTTTTGTTATAATTGACAGCTGTTTTTAACGGAACTTGTAAATATTACCAACCTTGGGATCGGTAATTTGCGAAATATCGTTAAAACATTCTGATTGTACACACAACTACTCCATAGATTGTTTTGAATATGCCTAAGTTTCTGATTGACAATATCTACATGTGTACATGGTCTTGAGAGATCAGGTCTTCCAACAATATGTTGGAAATCCCATGGGTACCAACTGTACTCCGTCATTAGCAAACCTATTTCTGCATTCACATAAAGCAAAATTTGTTTAAAAAGAAGGATATGGAGATAACGAACAGTATTCAATCTCAAAGTCCATAAAACAATACAAAATAGGAAATCCGAAACATCAGAGGTGGTATCAGGTGCCATGGAGGAGTGAGCATCCCTGCTGACCAGCCACACCCACCGTGTGCTCCTTGTCATGATCAGGAAATAACGGGAAAATCCGTCGTCAATTTAGTGTATAAATAATGGACTAACAATCAGAATGAAAAACGTCAGTCAGCATTTGAGTCAATGATAAATTGTATTTGGTGACAAGGTCATTGGATCGACCAAAGAACTTACGAAATGATGACTTTAAACGAGACTGATGATATTCTTGTTTCATCAACTTGCTTGTAAATAATTTACCTCGTTTTAGAAATTGTTCTAGAGCATGCTCTTGCGTATCGAATCATATTCAGCTTTTCTGGCCCAGTGGTTCTTGAGAAGAAGATTTTCAAAGATTTTTCCTATATATTTCTATATAAAACTTTGATTCCCCATTGTGGCCCCGCCCTTCCCCCGAGGGTCATGATTTGAACAGTTTACAATCTACACTATACCAGGATGCTTCCATATAAGTTTCAGCTTTTCTGGCCCAGTGGTTCTTGAGAAGAAGATTTTCAAAGATTTTTCCTATATATTTCTATGTAAAACTTTGATTCCCCATTGTGGCCCCGCCCTTCCCCTGGGGGTCATGATTTGAACAATTTAGAATCTACACTATACCAGGATGCTTCCATATAAGTTTCAGCTTTTCTGGCCTAGTGGTTCTTGAGAAGAAGATTTTCAAAGATTTTTCCTATATATTTCTATGTAAAACTTTGATTCCCCATTGTGGCCCCGCCCTTCCCCTGGGGGTCATGATTTGAACAATTTAGAATCTACACTATACCAGGATGCTTCCACATAAGTTTCAGCTTTTCTGGCCCAGTGGTTCTTGAGAAGAAGATTTTCAAAGATTTTTCCTATATATTTCTATATAAAACTTTGATTCCCCATTGTGGGCCCACCCATCCCCCGGGGGTCATTATTTGAACAATTTAGAATCTACATTATACCAGGATGCTTCCACATAAGTTTCAGCTTTTCTGGCCCAGTGGTTCTTGAGAAGAAGATTTTCAAAGATTTTTCCTATATATTTCTATGTAAAACTTTGATTCCCCATTGTGGCCCCGCCCTTCCCCCGAGGGTCATGATTTGAACAATTTAGAATCTACACTATACCAGGATGCTTCCATATAAGTTTCAGCTTTTCTGGCCCAGTGGTTCTTGAGAAGAAGATTTTCAAAGATTTTTCCTATATATTTCTATATAAAACTTTGATTCCCAATTGTGGCCCCACCCATCCCCCGGGGGTCATTATTTGAACAATTTAGAATCTACATTATACCAGGATGCTTCCACATAAGTTTCAGCTTTTCTGGCCTAGTGGTTCTTGAGAAGAAGATTTTCAAAGATTTTTCCTATATATTTCTATATAAAACTTTGATTCCCCATTGTGGCCCCGCCCTTCCCCCGAGGGTCATGATTTGAACAATTTAGAATCTACACTATACCAGGATGCTTCCATATAAGTTTCAGCTTTTCTGGCCCAGTGGTTCTTGAGAAGAAGATTTTCAAAGATTTTTCCAATATATTTCTATATAAAACTTTGATACCCCATTGTGGCCCCGCCCTTCCCCTGGGGGTCATGATTTGAACAATTTAGAATCTACACTACCCCAGGATGCTTCCACATAAGTTTCAGCTTTTCTGGCCCAGTGGTTCTTGAGAAGAAGATTTTTTAATGACCCCACCCTATTTTTGTCTTTTCTTCATTATCTCCCCTTGCGAGGGGATATGTCCCTTCATTTTAACAATTTAAATTCCCCTTTACCCAAGGATGCTTTGTACCAAGATTGGTCAAAATTGGCCCAGTGGTTCTTGAGAAGAAGTCGAAAATGTGAAAAGTTTACAGACGGACAGACAGACGGACAGACGGACGGACAGACGGACGGACGACGGACAAAATGTGATCAGAAAAGCTCACTTGAGCCTTCGGCTCAGGTGAGCTAAAAACGATGTTGGACCGCTGAGTGAGATGTTGAATGATCTGAGGTTACTTCACAGAGGACAGTACAACATATATGTATACATGTAAAAATGCGTTTTGTCGATCTCGAAAAACTGCCAGACAGTTTGGTTCTTGAATCCGACAAAACGCATTTTGCCCGAGAACATAATCCATAAATGTATAGTACTTCGGTGGTAAAAATGTAATAAAACTAACAAATATACAATGCAAATATAGATACTTCCTTTTCTTCAATAATCAATACAAGCCTCACTTAATTTTCTTTTTTACATTTTCTCATGGATTGTATTAGTTTTGCATTGAATGGCACCTTTTTAAAGATTGTTTTTTTGAAGATGAAATCAGTTTCAGCCGTTTCCTTATCCCAGAAGCTGTTTTTACAAACTTTACTAGTGTGATTTTATAACAGCTTCTGTTGTTTTTTTGTCCTGAGTAATGTGATGTGATCTGTAGATCTGCGAGGTCAATTTGTGAGAAAAGTGTAATGCGATTCAAGGAAGGAAATGACTTATTCAAAATACTATAGTAATAATCTAAAATTTTAAACCACAAAAAGCTTAATAAATGAGCTGGATATATCATTGAGTCAAATGCTGACTGACGTTTTTCATACTTATTGTAAGTCTATTTCATACACCTGAATTGACGACGGATTATTCCGTTATTTCCCGATCATGACAAGGAGCAAGCGGTGGGTTTGACCGGTCAGCATGCAAGGGATGCTCACTCCTCCATGGCACCTGATCCCACCTCTGTGTTTCGGAGGTCCGCGTTTGCTCTGCTCCTATTTGTATTTTTTATGGACTTTGATATTGAATACTGTTAGTTATCTCCAAAACCATTACCACAGGAGGTAAGGATACACACTTCAAAATAAAACTTGTAGTATAATGTTTTAAAATCTTTTAAAATAATAATTAATTAAAAAAGTATTGAAGAATCCCCTGCTAGTGTAGATTCAAGTTTGCACAAAAAAAATTCCCATCATTTAATGAACTAGAGATCTTTTGATGTCATGTCTGTTCTAATCAGGGACGATGGCTTTTAAGTAGATCACCTGAGTTTGTTCTTAGAGTGACTAAATGAAAAAAAGTGTTGACTCGTTATCATTTCACTGTTTTATTTGTTTTTGGTTATTGTTACCTGAAACTGCGATATTCTTTTTTATTCTTTCTGCAGTACGATTCACATCAACTTTCCTAGAATAAGTAAAGGTTCATATTTCACCTTGTTAATCTGTGCTAATAATCGAACATTTTGAATTTTGAACATTTTGAACATTTTGAATTGATAATAAAGTCCGAGGTGTATTGTATATAGACTAGTCTAGTTTAATTGGCAATCAGATTTTGGAACGCAGA